AAATTGATTTTAGAGAGAGAGGAAGGGGCAGAAGAAGAGAGAGAGAGAGAGAAAGAGAGAGATGTGAGAGAGAAATATGGATTGGTTACCTCCCCCACTTGCCCCAACTGGGGATTAAACCTGAAATCTGGGTATATACTCTGACTGGGAATCGAACCCTTGACCCTTCAGTGAATGGATGACGCTCCAGCCAACTGAGCCATAGAGGCCAGGGCTAATTATTGTGTTGATGATTGTTAAATGGTGGTATTCTAAATTAGTTATTTTTTGTGTGTGTGAATCAGTTGTCATTTCACTGTAAGAAAAAAGCTTTCTTCCTGTTTGATTTACTTATTTATTTCCACTTGGAATCATGTATTTTTCTTTTAGTCAATGGTTTAATGTAAATATCTTTTATTTTCATGTTTAAATTGTCCCAGATTTGGCCAGTGGCAGCCACTGACTCTTTGTCCTTTTGACATGTTCCTATCATTTTTTGATTATTTCCTTGGTTTCTGGCATAAAATGTTTCAGGGTTGTCTTCTACCAATCCTGGCCTAACCCTGCAATTAGTTATTTCTCCAAAGAGCACAAATAATTGCCTTTTGATGAAGTGGAGAAAAATAGAGATGTCCAGATCCACCCCAACCTGATTGGAGTCTCCAGGAGTCAGGCTGGGCACGGGAGGGCCTGGGTATTTGGGGCGCCCCCCCCCCCTCTTTTTTTCCTTCTTTGGGTTGCAGGAGCCTCGAATGCCAGTGCGAGGCACGCTGGCTGCGCACGTGGCGACACCTGGTGGTGGTGTAGGAACCTGCAGCGGCGGTTAGGCAATGCCTCGGACCCAGATATTAAAAGGGTCTCATTGCCTTCCCAGGCCTCCTGCAGGGTCTCCTGGGATGTGGAGCAGCTCGGCAGGCCTCCTTCTGAGGGTTCTGAGCCCCCCACCCCCCACCAGCCCTGCCTTTCCTTAGCCTGGCTGCCCCTGCTCAGGCCTCAATCTGAGGGTTCAAGCCCCAGAGCTGGATGACATCCAGGGCCTGGAGCATCCTCTGTCTCGGGATCAGATTTTGCTCCAGGACCTTCTGGAAACCCCTACGATTACTCAGCTGAGAGAGATACTTAGTGAATCACACTAGAGCTGCTCAGACGGTATTATGCATCATTAACAATGACAGTTATAAAGAGTTTGTCAAAACCTGGGGACGTGCTTACTGTCTAACATGAAGTAAAAGAAAAGCATTTTATATATAACAGAGCTGTGCACTGTTTAAAAGCCATTAGAGATAATGATATCGAGATGCAAATAGTGGTAGAATTATAGCAGTTTGTTTCCTTTTGCCTTTGTTCAATAGAGCACTTATTACTTTGATTGATAAAAAGGCTACTCCAGGGCCCCCACTGGCCTAGGAGCTGCAAGGCTGGAGAGCTTGCTGTGACTGCACCGTTTCTTCAGGTTCAGGGGCCCTCTGAGCAGTGCAGCTCTCATGGGGGGGTCAGTGGGTGGGGACACAGGCAGCCTCCCCGTGTCCATTCCAGTGATGTGACCAGTCCCTCTCCTCTTGGCTGGTCAAAGCTGGAGCCGCAGGAGGTGAGGTGGGGACAGAAGTGCCTTTGGGAGTGAAGAGGGCTCAGGAAGCCTGTCTCGGAGCTGGGGCCGAGCAGAACAGGCTGAGCTGTCTGTGGAGACAATCCCCTTGTCTCCTTGGCCCTCGGCTGAGCAGAGAGGTCAGGTCTTGGCTGAGAGTTGAAAAATTCTTAGGAGAGGCTGGGTTGCTGATTAATTTATAGAAGCTTATGATGTGCTCTGTCCACTCATCTAATCCTCACTGGACCCCCGGGGGAAGGTGCTATTGCTATTACTACCCCCTTTTTATAGAGGAGGAAACTGAGGCACAGAGAGGCTACAGATCTTGCCGAAGGTTGCACAGCTCCTGGGTGGTGGAACCTGACTTCAGATTCTGGGCTCTTACGCTGAGGGACCCCTAGGGGTGGCTTTGCCACAGCCTCCTGCAAACCTGACCCTCCGTGGAGGGATGAAAGGAACAGGAAAGATGGTGGAGGGCGGTGGTCTGAGGCCAGTGCACCCACCTGCTCCCCTCCCCCCTCTCTTTCAGGCCTCACTGGTCCTGCAGGTGTCCTACACACCGCTCCCCGGAGCTGTGCCCCTCTTCCCACCTACCACTCCTCTGGACCCCTCCCCGACTCTGCCTGACCAGGATATGATGGCTGGTGAGGAGCCCCCTCACCTTGGGAGGCCCAGGGAAGAGGCCCAGCCAGGCTCCCGAGCATGGGGGCGGGGCCCCAGTGAGGCTTCGGCAGCCTGTGCGGCCTTGGGGGGCAGGGGAGGACACGGGGGAGGGGGGGATCCTGAGAACTGCCTCTGCCACGCAGGAGAAAGGCGGGAGGCATGCTCCCCAGGTGCCACTCGGATTAGTGGGAGGACGCGCCTCCCCCCCACCCCGCCCCACTCGGCTCCAGGGAGGGAGCTGTGCCTGGGCGGGTGCTCACACTGTGCGCCCCGCATGGGTGGGTGCTGTCGTGTAGAGGACATGCCTGTGGGAAGGGGCCTTTTCCCAGGTGATGCCGGAGGCCCCACCCACTCCCCAGAGCCCAGTGCTTCCCTGCCCGGGACCTAGCAGGCCTTTGGTGATGACATGGGACAAAAGGGCTGGAATTTCCTTGAAAGAGCTCTGGGTCGAAGTCAGGGACATGAGTTACAGTCTTACCTTTGACACCCAGTAGCTGTGTGACGTTGGGTTGGCCACTCCCCCTCTCGGGGCCTATAGTTTATCATTTGTGAAAAGAGCGGACACGGAGTCCCACGGCTGCTTCCGCTCGCTCCACTTGCCTCTGCTGGGCTTGTCCAGGGAGGACCCAGCCCGGGGTGGCTGGCTGACAGTCAGGGGCCTGGGTGGCCGGGCCTGCTGGGTGGGCAGGAAGCTACACAGGTGGGCCAGGTGGGGACTCGCCCACGGAAAAGAGTCTACAGCTTCTCTCCTGGTAAAGAGACCTGGAGGCAGATGCAACACAACCTGAGCAGCCCCTGTCCCCATGTGGAGCCCTGTCTCCGGGGGCCCCAGGCCAGTCCGGGAGCCCAGCCCTGTGTGGGCTCTTGGAGAGGGGGCGGTGCAGGCCCGTCTCGCTGAGGCCTGCCTGTCTGAGCTTGGCGATGGGAGGTCACTCTGGCTGGGGTACAGGTAGAGGGAGGGAGGAGGGGTGCTCCTGGGGACAGCGGGTGGGGAGCCTGCAGGGCCCCGAATGTTCTGGGGCAACTTCTGAGGTGGCTCTGACAGAGGTAGGTTCACACTGCGCAGGGGAGGCTCCCAGAGGTGCCCAGTTCCCAGTCCTGCCTGGAAGGTGGTGAGAGGGATAGTCCCCCCCAGACGTGGCATCTGCTCCTGAGCTTCGTGTGGGGTTGGGGTGGCAGGGAGAGCAGGGTTGGGGGGAGAGGGGAGCTGGCTGGCTTCCCTTACCCACTCCCTCCTCCCCTCCCGGGGCTGTGCCCGCCCACGTGCCAGGTGGGGGACAGAGCCGGGCAGAGACGTGGTCCCTGCTCAGTGACAGCACTGTGGACACAAGATACTCGGGGAAGAAGTGGCTGGCCCCCACGGGTGAGACACAGCCAGGGCTGTCCTGACCCACCCGTTACCCGTAACCATCTCACAGCTGCCGTCGTTAGCTCACGGGCGTGGGCCGCGGTGGCCAGGGGTTCACCCTGCAGGACGGGCGGGGGGCCATTCTCTCTCCTTCCTGTTGACTAACTGGACTGACCGCCCCCACGTGTAGCTGCTGGACGCGTCTCTTCTCCTTCCTCATCCATCCTGGCTCATCGATGGGGGAAGGAGAGGGGCTGGGGTGGTGGTGAGTATTGGTGCCGTGCCCTGTGGACCCTCCTTTACCTGGCTGGGTCCCCAGGGCAGGGCCGGAGGGACCAGGACTCACTAGCACCCTCTCCTCCCAGACACAGGAGGAGAGGAGGACACCGAGGACCAGGGCCTCACGGGAGATGAGGCAGAGCCCTTCCTGGACCAGACCGGCCCCCCAGACCCGGGGGCTCCTTCCACGCCCAAGAAGCCAGCTTCCCACCCTCCCCCGTACCACCCGGGGAATAAAAGGAAGAGAGGCGCCCCCGCTCCCCGGAAGGTGCTGTCGGACAAGCCGCAGGACTTCCAGGTAAGGGCCGTCTGCGGCCACAGTCTCCCCTTTAGTGGGCCCACGGCTGTAGTGCTGGTGCCTGCCTATCTGTCCCAACTCAGGGGAGACCCTAGCAGTGCTCCTGGGGGAAGCCTGGTTTTCCGGGGCCGGGGAAGGTGTGCAACGGGCAGTCACATCATAGGGCCTCAGAATAAGCCTCTGCCCAGCCCTGGTTTTGCTCTTTAAAAAAAGGGGGTGTGGTGGGGGAGGTACACTGCAGAGATTCAGCGTATCTGTTTACCAACCAGAGTTTACCTGGCTCACTAGCTCCTGCTGCTCCAGGTGTGGTCCTTGGGCATGCAGGGTGAGCATCAGCTAAGAAGCTGCCTGGCTATGTTTCCTCTCCCGATATCCATGCCCTTCCTTCGTGCCATGATTTTTCTGAAAGTCTGTGAAATGTGAATTTGTTTAACCTCTTCAGATAATGACACTATTAACCCTTTGATGTATTTTTAATCCAAAAATCCATTCCATTTTATTTGCCTTTTAATTTTGGTCCCTTGTTTATCTGTTTGCTATTATACAAAATGTTCCATTTTGATAGAGTTGCACTTAGTGATATTTAATGCTTCAGAACTACTTTTAAAATTAAAAATAGGAAACATCCCGGCCGGCCTGGCTCCGTGGTTGAGCGTCAACCTATGAACTAGGAGGTCATGGTTCAATTCCCGGTCAGGGCACATACCTGGGTTGCGGGCTTGAACCCCAGTGGGTGACGTGCAGGAGGCAGCTGATCAATGATTCTCTCTTATCACTGATGTTTCTATCTCTCTCTCTCCCTCTCCCTTCCTCTTTGAAATCAATAAAAATAATATTAAAAAAATAGGAAACAAATCTTTAGTAAGTGCAACAAATTGTAAAAATATATTTTAGTTTTAAATCATGGTAATTTAGGCAAACGTGCCAGCTATCAGCACTATGTTTGCCTGAAAGACAAAATTACGTGCAGGAGGCAGCTGATCAATGATTCTCTCTTATCACTGATGTTTCTATCTCTCTCTCTCCCTCTCCCTTCCTCTTTGAAATCAATAAAAATAATATTAAAAAAATAGGAAACAAATCTTTAGTAAGTGCAACAAATTGTAAAAATATATTTTAGTTTTAAATCATGGTAATTTAGGCAAACGTGCCAGCTATCAGCACTATGTTTGCCTGAAAGACAAAATTCTAACATATTTTTATTATTCCCAAGACATGTTCTTATTGCCTTTTTTCCTCCTTAGAAGGTTAATATTTATATTGTAGAAAATTTGGAAAAGACAGCAAAAAGAAGAGAATAAAAACCACTCATCTACCTTTCCATTGTTATTAATAATATATTCTTCTACAGAATGCTAGTTTAAAAAAATTAATCAATCAATATGTAACTACTGATTAGGAATTAGAACCAGTAAACATTATTTTTCCCATGAAAATTGTTTTAATATTTTAAAATTTCGTACTTTTGAAACCTTCATTTACTTATAGTCAGTGGAGGAAACTCTTAGTTTATTTCTCAGAATGTGAACAGCATTGCATCTTATAAAGAGCAGAGAGGGGGAGCCTTACTATCTGAGTTCAGGCTCTGAGGGAATTGTCATTGCAGGATGTTCAAGCCACTTAAAAGCATCAGCGTCAAAGGGCCCGAGGTGCCAGCGGCTGCAGGAACCTGGGGAGGGATGCCTGGCCCGGTGCCAGGAATGAATGCCGTAGCTTACCTGGGTGCCTGGCAGCTCTTGTGTGGAAACGTGGGATGTATAGGAGCAAGGGACCTGGGTGGGGACTGTTTTCACAAGGCTTTCCCAAGTCTTTAAAAAAAATACATGTTTTTGTTAATTTCAGAGAGGAAGAGAGAGGGAGAGAGAGATAGAAACATTAATGATGAGAGAGGATCATTGATCAGCTGCCTGGGGATCGAGCCTGCAACCCAGGAATCGAACTCTGACCTCCTGGTTCATAGGCTGATGCTCAACCACTGAGCCACGCCTGCCGGGTTTCTCCTCTTTAATACCCTTCCTGAGACCTGCAGTGAGGATGGTCCCCGAGATTTCTGATTTTTTTTTGGGCGGGGGGAGGAGTGGGATGTGTGTGTTTCTGACCACTTCTGCTTTCCTCCTGCTCACGCCCCCTCTTGGCTTTCAGATCAGGGTCCAGGTGATCGAGGGGCGCCAGCTGCCAGGGGTGAACATCAAGCCTGTGGTCAAGGTCACTGCCGCTGGGCAGACCAGGCGGACGCGGATCCACAAGGGAAACAGCCCCCTCTTCAATGAGGTGGGAGGCAATGGGGTTCGGGCTGGGGCCCTGGTGGGCTCTGATAGGGAGCACACAGCAGGCGCCCGGCCAGCCCCTCAGTGTTTACATAGGCGCTGACTTTGGGTGGAGAGATGTGCCACCCAAAGGTGTGAACAGGCTGTTTGAGGAACTGGAGAGATGGTTTTAGCTCGTGTTCTTGCCTTGTCCCACAGCTGCTCCACATCCCTGTCATCCTGTAGGGCCAGCCACTCACCCTGCCCCTGAGATGACGACCTCTGTGGAGTCAGGGAAGGGTCGTCCCAGAATCTGTCAGGTCCCAGAGCTCAGTGCGGGCTGAGCTCATTCCACGATTTCCAGTTTCCGTGTGGACCAGCCCGAGTGCTGTGGTGGGCGGTTGACTCTCTCCCCGGCCTGGGGGCCTGGGCATCGGCAGGCACTCACTCGTCTCCTTTCTGCCCTGAACCAACAGACTCTGTTCTTCAACGTGTTTGACTCTCCAGCGGAGCTGTTCGATGAGCCCATCTTCATCACGGTACGTTTGGGTGACCAGAGGTCCTCTGTGGGCTGTGTACACGCACATGCCCGTCACCCATGCACGTGTGTGACAGAGAAGCCTTGAAGCCCAGGGCATGAGTGCTGTGCAGAGGCTCACCCCAAGGCTGCTGGTCACGGAAGTGCCTCCAGCAGTTTAGATGGAGGCAGCAGCTGAGAGGGGAGAGCCCGCAGCTCAGCACCCCCAGGTGTCTCGGGTCAGGGTCCTGAAATCATTCTTGAGCGGGAACATTGATTTTCATCTTATACTAGAGGCACAGGTAGGGTCCCTAGGCCTGGCTGGCGATCAGGGCCAATCTGTGGGGTGACTGGCGGAGCGATCAGGGGACCCCCACTGGCACCTGCCTTGGCCTGCCTGATGCCGCCTACTTGCCGGCAAATTGCGCCCCACCCCTGCCCCCACCCCCCTGCTGCCACCGCCACTGCAGGGGCGATTGGGGGTGGGGGGGGCTCCTCCTGGCACCCACCTTGGCTAGCCTGGGGCCTGTGGGCAACTCCTGCGTTGAGCATCTGCCCCCTGGTGGTCAGTGTGTGTCATAGCGACCTGTCGTTTGGTCGATTTGCACATTAAGCTTTTATTATATAGGATTGTTTGTCCATGTGCCCCTTTCTGGCCAAGATTTCTTCCTCTGGGCCCTGACAGCTCCTTTCTCCTTTCCTCTAAAAGACAATATAGTTTAGTGGTTAAAATTATAGGCTCTGGAGCCAAACTGATTTGCATATTAGGCTTTTATTATATAAGATTGTTTGTCCATGTGCCATTTCTGGCCAAGATTTTCTTCTTCTGGGTCCTGGCAGCTCTTTTCTCCTTTTCTCTAAAAGACAATATAGTTTAGTGGCTAAAAGTATGGGCTCTGGAGCCAAAGTGCATTCTCACCCTGCCGCTGCCATTTAGGAGTTGTGTGATTCTGTACAAGTCTTGTAATCTCTCTTTCTTTGCCTCTGTTTCTTCATCTGTGAAATGGGGAGAATAATAGCACCTACTCACAGGGTTCTTGTGCGGGTTAAACATGGCTTAGCACAATCTCTGGAGTAGAGTGCGGGGGCAAGAGCTATCGGGTTGGACTCTGTCTGGGCCAACATTTACTCGTAAAGGAGAGTTTTAATTTATCTTTCCCTCCAGGTGGTGGACTCCCGTTCCCGCAGGACTGACGCTCTCATCGGGGAGTTCCGGGTAATGCTTTATTTTCTTTGCAAGCAGCCAGTTCTCGCATATCCGTGTTAGTGGAGGCTCTGTGGGTAATGTGCCAGCGTTGGCACTTCAGAAATCCTGTCTTGGTCGGTGTTGGCAAAATAGAATTAACAAAACAGGGTCTCCCGGCCTGGAAATCCTCTCCACAGAGGTAGGAGGGAAAGAGCACTTGTGTGACTGAGGAATCATTGAACCAGCGTGCGGTGTGCGTCCCCGGCACTCCACCGAGAGACTGAAAGGGCAGAAGTCTTTTCATGTCGTGTCCATCCGGCAGAACCCAACCCCCACAGGTTCTCAAGATGAACAGTCACTCGTCCTCCAGTGAGTGGGCCTGACAGCATGGTCACACGTCGCGCGTTCTCACGCGACCTGGTCCTCGGGGTGACTGTCTGTGTTGTTAGTTGACTTTATCCAGAGGGAACAGAAAACAAGCTCACGTTTTCAGGAGAGGAGGTACTTTACCCCTCGGAGCAAGGCAGGCCCTGAAGTTAGGCCCCTCCCTCCCCACAGAGATGGGGAGAACCCGGGGGGAGATGCGTCTGGGTCACAAAACTGAGGAAAGGCTTATTTGGTTTCTAAAAAGATCCATTTTGCCCCGGCTGGTTTAGCTCAGTGGATAGAGTGTCAGCCTGTGGATGGAAGGGTCCTGGGTTCGATTCCAGCCAAAGGCACATGCCCAAGTTGTGGGCCTGATCCCCAGTAGGGGGCAGGAAGGAGGCAGCTGATCAAGGATTCTCTCTCATCATTGATGTTTCTCTCTCTCTCTCCCTCTCCCTTCCTCTCTGAAATCAATACAAATATAAAAAAATTAAAAAATTAAAAAAAATGATCCATTTCAAAGAAAGAGAAAATACTTAACATTTGCAAGTTGTTAAGGTAAATGTTCTGCCAAAAAGAGGGAGGAGAAGTCTCTTCCCTTATTTCTGTTAGGGGAGTTCAGCTTCTTATTTTTAATTTGTATTTGTCCTGACACCTGGACAGGCAGCGTGCAACTTGAGTTTCGGCAGCGCTCCTCCTGGTTCTGACCATCAGGGCCAGTGAGACGCCGGAGCTCTGTGCCGGGCTCACGTCACCAGGGGCTGGGAGTGGGTTTCAGTTGTGCAGCGAGGCACTCGGGTGGGGCAGTGGGGAGCGAGGGGAGCCTGCCCCCCCCCCTTATTTGTCTCAAATAGTGCAGAAGTGAACAGGCCCTTGTGGAGAACTGAGAAACGTACAATTCAGCTCAGAGGATTGCTTTCACAGGCTACACACAGGGAAGGCAGCGAGCCATGGAGACCTCCCTGAATGCTGTTGTAATGTAATTCTTACTGATTTCCTCATTTTTGAGTCTTCAAGCATTTATCAAATGGAAAGAAAGGGCACAGCTTACTTTAACCTCCCCTGCTATGCAAATAAAACGTGACCCCTTTCCTCTGGGAATTAAGTCACCAGGTGGAACACTACGTCTTTCTTCCTGGGGAGGCAGTTTTCAAAGGCATGGGCTCCAGCCTGTCATTCTGTAACAAATGGGTCTTCATTATATTTGGAGTCGCTAATCTTTGAAACACTTTTTGTCCTGAGAACCCAACAGTTAAGGTAAAACACTATTTTTTTCTAATGATAAAAGTAATCCATGATTTAAGAAAATATTTCTCACAACAGTTTAGGTTCATGGCAAAGTTGAGAGGACAGTACAGTTCCCACATATCCCCACTCCTCCCCCCAGTTTCCCCACCATCAACATCACCCTCATCTATGTTTTTTTTTTTTACAGAAAGTTATAAAATACAGGAAAGAATAAAAATAAAATAAAACCCACCCAAATTTACCACCCAGAAAGAGCACAGTTACAGCTGTATTTCCTTTCCTCTTTCTTTTCTATGCACGTACATACTTGACCAAACTTGAATCAGAATAAATTCCACTTTTGACCTGGCCAGTGTAGATCAGTGGTTAGAGCATGGGCTCATGCAAGGACGGGTTGTGGGTTCGATTCCTAGTCTTGGTTAGGGCACCTGTGGGAGGCAGCCAATTGATGTATCTCCCTCTCTCTCTCAAAATCAGTGGGAAAGATATCCTTAGGTGAGGATTAACAACAACAATAACAACACCAACAACAAAATATTCCGAGCTGTATTTCCTTTCCTCTTTCTTTTCTATGCACGTATATACTTGACCAAACTTTAATCAAAATAAATTCCAATTTTAACCTGGCCAGTGTATATCAGTGGTTAGAGCATGGGCTCATGCAAGGATGGGTTGTGGGTTCGATTCCTAGTCTGGGTTAGGGCGCCTGTGGGAGGCAGCCAATTGATATATCTCCCCCTTTCTCTCAAAATCAGTGGGAAAGACATCCTCAGGTGAGGATTAACAACAACAATAACAACAACAAAATATTCCACTTTCTTCCTTCCCATGTATTATCAAAGGAGGAACATCTCCCCATGTCTCCATATGTACTTCAAAACATGATGTTTTTTGAAGGTCTAACTGGCTTTATTAAGCGATTCACGAGTCGCCAGCATCCTGTCCAGCTACCAGAAGGGCAGTCCCTTCAGAACATGATTTTTCATGGGATGATGTGATGTACCACACTTTATGTAGCACTCCAGGGGCAAGAGTTTGACGTGTGTTCTCTCTGTTTAATTTCAGATAGATGTGGGTGCCGTCTACAGAGAGCCCCGTGAGTCACCTTCTCATCACCTTGGCCATGTCCTTGCATTTTGGTCTGGAGGCTGCTTGGGGGACACCCAGTTTCCTTCTGGGGGCGGTTTAGGATGTAGAGTTGGAGTTAGGCCCTGGGGGTTTTAAGATGTGGAGGTGAGAGCTGCAGGAGTGAGGGAGGGCAGGCTTCCACCTTCCAGGAGGAACAGGCCCCCCAGGGAGATCCAGCCCTCATAAGGTCTCAGCGGGTCAGCCAGGGATGCTCATTCTGGAAGGCCCCAAGCAAAGGCATCCGGAGGTGGGGGTCACCTTGGACAGGGTGGGTCGGGTCATTTGGGTGACACGTCTAGCATTTCTCCACAGCCAGGTTTCTGCTCTGCCCCGGTCACTTCCTGAGTGAGGGGAGAGGTAAATGGCCCCGAGTGTGGCTTTGGGGTTCCTGTTAACATTTCTGACTCCAACCTACTTGCACACTCCAAGCACCTTTTATTCTACAAGTTGAGTCCTGCCCCCCTGTCCAGTGGACGAGTCCTTCATCTCACTCACGTGTAGTCCGCCCTCGGCTCCCGGATGTGGTTGCAGACCTGGTGATCACCCACAGGCATTGTCTCCCGTAGGACACGCCTATCTCAGGAAGTGGCTGCTGCTCTCGGACCCTGATGATTTCTCCGCTGGGGCCAGAGGCTACCTGAAAGCAAGCCTGTGTGTGCTGGGGCCTGGAAACGAAGCGCCTGTGAGTCCACGTCCCTGTCCTCCTCACAGCACCTTACCTGGTAGCGGAGGACCAACCAAC